ATCTCAAAAACCAAACCAAAGAAAACAACAGGCGCTGGAGAGAAGGTTCAGTGTGAAGTTCGCTGGTCAGCAGGTCTGGTCAACCCCTGAACTTCAGGATAAGTACCTTTCTCATAAGGTGAAGAGACATAGAAGGCATCTAACGCCAATCTCTGGCTTCCAGGTGTACATATGCATGCAAAACACACACACACACACACACACACAGAGTATCAATCTTGTGTTATGCTAGATGTTTGTTTTAAACCAGCCTTTTACTATGGACAGTTTGAACATCCCCGCTCCAAGCCAGACTGCAAATCCAGGCCCATCCCTATGTATCCACAAGAGCCGAAGTCCCCCCCCACCCCTACCCCCACCAAAGGGCCTGCAAAGCACCTCTCCTCAGGTCCTGGGTTGCTTCACAGCAGGCTGAGGACAAAGGATACAGAGGTCAGCTTTCATTCTGTTGCCCTGTATTCTAGAACCCTAGTGATCAAAAGGCCCTAAGGAGGCTGGGAACATGTTGAGGCAGGAGGGGGTGGGCAATAAGTGGCAGACTATGTAGACATGAGCCTGGGCTTCTCTCAGGATCCAAGTTTCTGTAAAAGGGATCGTTCTCACTGTCATTGTGGGCTTGGGGCTTTTAGGCAAGTGTCCACCCTTGGCCCTGACTGCTAGTCTTTGCAAGGCTCTCTTCTAGACTAACAAATCGCAATGAGGCCTCATGGTGGGTCACATGTGCCTCTGCCCCACACGAATGACTGCTCTTCTGAATATGCATTTTCTCCCATCTCATCTGCGTGTCCAAACATGACCCGTCCTTCAAGTTCAGCTCAAACACCAAGTTCTCCATTAAGCCTGTGAACCAGCCAAGAGTGAACAAAAGGACTGTGAGGCTTAAACTAAAAAGATGTGGCTCTTTACTTTCAGAAAGTTTCCAGCAAGGAGTCTCCAGAGTTCTCCCTCAGCTCACTGACTCGAGGTTTGGATAACAATCTCTGCAGATCTTAGGGCTTGACATCCTCCTCCTCTTCATTTTCCTCTCCTCCTCCTCCACCTTCTCCTTCTCTATTCTTCTTTTAAATGATTTGTTTTTATTTTATGTGCATTGGTGTTTTGCCTGCGTTTACATCTGTATGAGAATGTCAAACCACCTCAAGCTGGATTACAGACAGGTATGAGCTGTCATGTGGTGATATTTGTTTATGATCTAACAAAGTTTGCCTGACGATCTGAGTGTAGAGCTAGCCACAGAGTGCTGCATCTCTGTCACAGGTGTGTGAGGAAAGGAAGCACACAGAAGACAAGAGTGGTCCCTGTGCAATGCCTGTCCCCACCAGTGTATTGCAAAGCTCAGAAACCATAAGCCCTGGGAAGCACTTCCTGGGGTCTTACATCAGTAGTGGATATAATCAGCCCTATGCTGACCACTGCTCTGACCCCCAACAAACCATTTCTAAGTCACTCAACTGCATCCCAGAACAAAATGTAAGGTTTGTAGGAATACAAAAATGCCCAGCATCCAACAGAGTAAAATTTGCTGTGTCTGGCATCTAATCAAAGATAATCAGGCAGGCAACGGAGTAGGAAAACATGAGGACAATAACCACAGGCTCACAGCCAAGTCAGAACGGACAGATGGTAGAATTCGCAGGCAATGACATTAAGAATTATAACTAGGGGCTAGGGAGCTAGCTCCTCAGACAAAGGCACTTGCTGTCAAACTTCACCCCCTGAGTGTTCAGAAACCATATGATGGAGAGAACAGACACCGCAACTTTTCCTCTGACTTCTGCATATGCTCATGGCATACAGGTGCTCACACATATACATACACACAACAAATAAACAAAACAAAATGTAATACAATTAAAAGTTATTACAGTTATCGTGTGTAAATTTTCAAAGAGCTGGAGACACGAGAGAGGAATATCTAGGTGGTGGGCTGGAGAGGGGCTTGCAAAGTGGATGAAGTGCTCACTGTGCAAGCATGAGGACCAAAAGTTCAGACCCCCAGCATCCACGTAAAAGCCAGGCACTGTAACTCCAGTGCTGGGGGTGGGACAGAGACAGGCAGATCCAAGGGCTCAGTGATCAGCCAGTCTAGCTGGAATGGAAGTGCTACATTTAGAAAGACATCCTGTCTTGAATAATAAGGTGGAGAGTGATGGGGTAAGATACTCAGTATATTCTGGCTTTGTACATATACACATAGGCAAGTACACTTTGCATAGACATACATGCATATACCACACACACACACACACACACACACAACACACACACCAAACACACATATACTACAGACACACACATTATAGTTACACACCATGCCCCTCTTCCCAAAAATTTAAGTTTCGTTTTTTTTTAAATGAAAACTACAATGTCTTGAAAAATGCACTTGATGGGGTTAACAGCAGGTCAGACACTATAAGAGAAAAGAGAATTAATTTGAAGATACAACAATAGAAATTACACAGGATGAAACACAGAAAAACAAAGATTTTGTTTTTGTTGGGATAGATCATCGATGAGTTATGGAATGATTGCAAATGTTCCAAATATATGGATATATAATCTAGTTTCTTTTCATGTCTTGTAACTTTTTTGCCTCTTAGCAAATATCAGGGTATATGGAGTCAATGAAGGAAAAGATAAAACTGACAGAAAATTATTTAAAGAAAAATATGGTCAAAGTTCTCCAAATGTAAAGCCTGGCAAATAGTTATAGGTGCTGATGTGTTTCCTCATGGCCGCATCCTGGTCTACAGAGTGAGATCCAGGATGGCCAGGGCTACAAAAACCAAACAAAACCAAAACCAAACCAACCAACCAAATAAACCAAAACCAAACCTGTCTCAAAAAAAGCAAACCAAATCAAAACAAAACAACTTTTCCAAATTTAATGAAGACATGAACTCACATCTATAAATATGGTGTTATGGCTTGAATGTGTAATGTCTCCCACAGGTGTATGTGTTTGAACACTTGGTCTCCTGCTGATGGCACTGTTTTGGAGGCTATGGAAACTTTAGGAGGTGGAGCCCTGCGGGAAGTCCTCCACTGGGAGCAGATTCAGAAATTTAAAACTTCACACACACACACACACACACACACACAGGTCTGGAAGGCTGAAGGCATGGTATTTCCTAATTCATTCTGTAAGACCAGCATTAAGTTTTCAATGTACAGATTTTGAGGAGACATAAACATTAAGAGATCACAGCTTCCTTTCCAAAATGATGTGTTTACCAAACCTGATTATTTGGAGATTTACGCAGGCTTTGATATGTAGGAATGATTACTCAAACCATTGTCCACTGGGGATAAACTCAGTCTCCAGCTTCCCCCTCCGCTCTCTCTCCAGAAGTTAAAGTCATGATGCTGAAAGCTCCAGCCTTTCAGTTGTGGCCTTCTAGTGACCAGCCTTTACCCTGAAGCCATATAGGGGCTGTGCTGGCTAGCTTCAGTCAACTTGACCAAGCTGAAGTCATCTGAGAGCAGGGAACCTCAATTAAGAAAATGCCTCCATAAGATAGGGCAATAGGCAAACCTCTAGGGCATTTTCTTAATTAGTGATGGATTGACTCAGCCCATGGTGGGTGGTGCCTTCCCTGGGATGATGGCCTTGCTTCTCCAAGGAAACAGACTGGAGAGCAAGCCAGTAAGCAGCACCCTCCATGGCCTCTGCATCAGCTCCTGCCTCCAGGTTCCGGCTCTGTTTGAGTTTCTGCTCTGACTTCCTTTGATGATGAACAGCAATGTGGAAGTGTAAGCCAAACAAACCCTTTCCTCCCCAACTTGCTTTGTTTATGGTGTTTTGTCTCAGCAACAGAAACCCTAAGACAGGAGCCCACCAAGACTCACTTCATAGCTCAGTCAGGTTTAATGGAAAGACACTTATAAATAACAAAAGATGCCACAGTCACTCAGGGGACCCCAAAGCTTTTAGGAGCTCTGGACCAGGAACTAGGGAGAAAAATCAAACATGTATTTCTCATTATACCACAGGAAAACGTAAGAAAAAGCATCTAGGAAAACCAATAAGATATCTCACACTTACTCTTAAAACACTGAATTCCTTGGTCTAAGACCAGAAAGAAAACTAGGATGCTGACTCCCATCACCACCAGGCAGCATTTCACTAAAGGTCTGGACAATGCAATCAGGCAGGAAAAAGAAACAGAATAATGTAATGTGAGAAGTCAGAACTAAATTTCTGAAAAAAAATTAGCAAAGAACAACAACAACAGCAAAACCAATCTGATCAAATCAAAGCAAGTTTTGTTTTGTTTGTGGACCTAGGGATCAAATCCAGGGCCTTGCACACACCAGGCAAGCTTTCACCACTGGGCTACATTCTAGCCCTCTCTCAGCGTTACAAATTTGAGACAGTCTCATTCAGTTGCTCTGACTGGCCTTGAACTCACTCTATCCCAGGCAGGAATTGAACTTGTGATCTTCTCTCTCAGCCCTCCGAGTAACTAAGACCACAAGCCTGAAACTCTGGGACTGGCTAAAGTGGTTGTTTGCTTGTTTTGTAATAAACGATGTGCTCTAGAGACAACAGAACTATTTGGATAAATGGATAAATGAGTTGCCACACACAAGAACCTATTATTAATCTGAAAATTTCTGGGTACAAGAAGCTAGACAAAAGAGAATGGAATTTCCATTAGTATAAATTCCTGAAACTGTGAAGTAACATTTAATTGGAGAAAGAACATAAGTGGGTGACAGGGGAGGGGGTGGCTGGGAATGGGGGGGTGGCTGGGAATGGGCAGGAAGGAGAAAGTTATGAAGGGGGTGTTGGAGGTTTAGCTCAGCAGTTAAGAGCTCTTGCTCTTGCAGAAGACCTGATGTGGCAGTCTGAATAAAATTGGCCCACGTAAGCTCATAGGGAGTGGCACTACTAGGAGGTGTTTTTTTGGGAGTGGGTATGGCCTTGTTAGAGGCAGCGTGTCGCTGTGGGGGCAGGCTTTGAGGTCTCCTTTGCTTACTTTGCTAAGTGTCACAAACCATTTCTTGTTGCCTTCAAGAAGTCAGACTCTCAGTTTCTTCTCCAGCACAGTGTACCTGCACACTGCCGTGTGCCACTGTGATGATAGTGGACTGAATCTCTGAACTGTAAGGCAGCCATCGCAATGAAATGTTTTCTTTGTAAGAGTTGCTGTGAGGCTTCCCCTGTCATCATTTCCTGCAGCCATGTACTTGGACATCATGGCGGATGGCGAGCCCTTGGTCCGCGTCTCCTTTGAGCTATTGGCAGGCAAAGTTCCAAAGACAGCAGAAAACTTTCACGCTCCGAGCACTGGAGAGAGAGGATTTGGATGTAAGGGTTCCTCCTTTCACAGAATTATCCCAGGACTCATGTGTCAGGGCGGTGACTTCACACGCCATAATGGCACTGGCGGCAGGTCCATCTGCGGAGAGAAATTTGAGGATGAGAACGTCATCCTGAAGCACACAGGTCCTGGCATCTTGTCCATGGCAAATGCTGGACCAAACACAAATGGGTCCCAGTTGTTTATCTGCGCTGCCAAGACCGAGTGGCTGGATGGCAAACATGTGCTCTTTGGGAAGATGAAAGAAGGCATGAGCATTGTGGAAGCCACGGAGCGTTTCCGGTCCAGGAGCCGCAAGACCAGCAAGAAGGTCACCGTTTCCGACTGTGGGCAACTCTAATTCTTTTGTCTCTTGGGCGGCTTACCCACCAGATCACTCCTTCTGTAGCTCAGGAGAGCATTCCCCCGGCCCCTTCCCCCCCCCCCCCCCCCAAATCTGCTCGCAATGCCCTGTAGTCTCTGCTCTCACTGAAATTCTTTGGGTTCCATATTTTCCTCATTTCCCTCCAAGTCTAGCTGGATTGTAGAGTTAAGTTTATGATTATGAAATAAAAACTAACTAACTAAAAAAAAAAAGAGTTGCTGTGGTCATGGTGTCTCTTCACAACAATAGAAATCCTAACTAAGACACCTGGGTTCGATTCCCACTACCTACACCCACATTGTGGCTCACAACTCCAGTTCCAGGGGGGGTTTTACTCCCTATCTTCTGACCTCCATGCACCTCACACACGCATGTGATACACATACAAACTTGTAGGCAAACACATACAATTTTTTAAAGGGTGTGGGGACATTGTTGGGAAAGACAGCTGTCTGTTGATAAGTTTGATTGCAGTGATGGTTTTGAAACATCAAATGAGGTTTACTTTGGTTTTGTTTTTTGTTTTTTTCGAGACGGGTTTCTCCCAGATGTCCTATAACTCACTCTGTAGACCAGACTGGCCTCAAACTTACAGAAATCCACCTGCTTCTGCCTCCTGAGTGCTGGAATTAAAGACACGCACCACCACTGTGCACAAGTGAGGTTTAAAACAACATGAACTAGCTGGGCGGTGGTGGCGCACGCCTTTAATCCCAGCACTCGGGAGGCAGAGACAGGCGGATCTCTGTGAGTTCGAGGCTGGGCTGGACCGACAGCCTCCAAAACAATACAGAGAAACCCTGTCTCGTAAAAACAAAAAACAAAAAAACATGAACTTTAAGTGTTAGCTTTCACACATCATTCCTACTCAATAGGGCAGTTTTAAAAACAGTTTAAAGGATGTGAAAAATCAGGGTTACTGAACTAAACAAGCATAACTATTCTCAGTAAAGAAAGTATAGCTTGCCTTCCTTCTTTCTTTTTTTCCTTCCTTCCTTCCTTCGGGGCCTATCAGGTCACATATTGTATAATGGCAATTCACAATACACATGAACAAGACAGAGCTCATGCTCAAGACAGTTTAGGCCCTCAACCGTGTTCACTCTGAGTCCTGGTATCAGTGTTGACACTGCCAAACCTGTCTCTTTTCCCCGTTGCTAGGGTTTCCTCTCAGGGCTTCCTCTCATCTCTGGCCTGACTGTAGTGGTAGCTCTCACAGGGTCTGCTCTGCTTCACCACAGAGCCAGAGTTATGGGTAAGTCCTTTAAACCTGACCTCCCCTTATTCCCTATGTGTCAAAGTTTACACTCAACATTACAATATTATTGTACTATTTTGAACTATGATTCAAATTTTCATCATATGAAATCACAGTATGTTTGCAAGATAATAGGATGCACAGACATTAATCTCCCTTTTTCTGTGGTTTTGCTTTCCATGGTTTCAAATGCAATCTGAAAATATCGAAGGAAAAATTCCTAAAACAGTTCATAAACTTGAAATTGGGCGTCACTTTGGGTACTGTGAAAAACCGTTCGTTCTGGCACATTCCATACCACCCTGGGTGTGAATTTTCCCTTTGTCCGTCCGTGTATACACGCTGTGTACACTGCTTACCTGTTAGTCCCTTTGTAGCATCTCAGCTATCAGGTCAGACTGCTGTGGTACTGCAGCACTTGTATTCAAGAAACCCCGATTTTACTCAGCGATGGCCTCGCAAGAAACTGCCAAGTGCTCTCTTTAATTATCATTACAAGATAATTAACCATCATTCCAAGAACAGGAAAGATGAGTATACTAAGGCATTTTGAGAGTGACCACCTTCTCATAACTTGCACATAGTTATCTTACTTTATTGTTGTTAATCTTATTGTGCTTAAGTCATGAATTATAACTTTACCATAGGGGAGTTCAGGGGAAAGGCATTAGTCCACATAGAGCCGGGTACTATATGCAGCCTCAAGGATCTACTGTGGGAGGTGGAACATATCTCCTTGCTGATAAATGGAAGAGCACATTGTTGCCCAAAGGTGTGGGAACACCAGACCTTGAGCAGAGACCCACTTCCCCTTCTGCCTGGGAGTAGGCAGCTGTAAGACAATGTTTAGTAAAAACATGTTTACTAAAAACGATACAATAAGTTCCTGGCCACTTCCCCTTCTGCCTGGGAGTAGGCAGCTGTAAGACAATGTTTAGTAAAAACCTGTTTACTAAAAATGATACAATAAGTTCCTGGGAAAGGCCTTCCCACGGAAACCGCCCTGACCTCGACCTTGTCCAAAGACTAACCGCACCTTCAAAAGCCCACACACATCCACCTCTGGGTCAGAGCAGAACCAGCCAGGGTAGAGGAGAGAGCAGAAGCTTCTCTGGTGGGAGCTTTTCTTAGGAAGTTTTTCTTGAACCTTTTTGGAGCCTGTTTAAAGTTTTCATTATATCGTTGAACGAGTCTCTGTGTTGTCAATACCCGACACCCTCCGCACGTTCTCGGACACAGGCCGCGTAGCAGACGTGACACAAAGGGAAGCAAGTGACAGAAGGGCAAAGAGATGAGTCTGTTACAGCGCTTCCTGCATGTCTGGCTTGGTGCCCGGCTCTGCAAATTCACCATTTCATTTATTATCCTTCAGATTCAAGAGTCCTTTTCCACAAGGCAAGAGACTGCGATGCAGGGCTCACAGCTACTGCAAGCCAAGACCCCTATAACTCTGCATAGCTTGTCATGAGTGTACTTCCCTGCTTTGCTGTCCATATAAGGGGAGGCCCTACCTCTGGACTTAAGGGATGTACTGAAGACCACAGGCATAACACGAAAAATAAAAGACCCAGAGACTGATTGGGGTTCAAACTTCAAGCTGAAGATCAGGAAAGCAAAGCAGCTGACCACTAGCTCTTACCTCTACCTCAGGCTGAAAGAGCTGATCTTGCCTCCATGAGCTCTCACCAAGCCTCAGACCGCTGCCTCTCCTCAGTGTGGCTGGAGAATCAACCCTTCCTATCCTCAATGTGGCTGGAGAATGAATGCCAGCTCTGAGACCCTGCACCTGTCTTAAATACCTCTCATGAGTCCTGGGATTAAAGGTGTGAGCTCTATTACTATTTTAGACCAATTCAAGCTCATGTATCCCTGGGTGGCTTTGAACTCAGAAAGATCCAACTGCCTTTGTCTCCTGCGTCCTGGGATTAAGGGTGTGCAGCTCCTATGGTTAACTAGTATGGCTGCTTTGCATTTTGATCTCCAGTGGCTTTAATAAATAATAAACAATGCATCACCACACACAGATCCACTGGATCAGGCAGGACAATGTTGGCTATATACAACCCAGAGTGGAAGACCTTGGTTTTGCTGTTGTTTTTGTTTTGTTTTTAGAATATCACACAGGGAGTATCTGAGATTTCATCTTCTTCAAAATATTTTGGTAATTTCTTCTGCTAAAGTATTCTTTCAATAAAGATCTGCATTTGGCTACAGCAGAAACAGATGACAGTGGTTCTAAAAAGAAGTGTGTGGGGGTGGGGTGGGGTGGGGTGGGTGCTCTTGCATTTAATGTCTCCAGATAGCAAGTGGAAGGTGGTTGGCTTGGGGGACCCAGACGCTCCCCAGCCTGGGGTCTCAATATGTTGTAATCGTCCCACAGGTTAGAACCTGACCCATACAGGTCCACAGGCTCGGTAGGCGACCTGGAAGGGCAGGGGTCCACACATCTCTGAGAGCCACTACCCGCTTTCAGTCGTGTTCCTAGAGGCTCCATCCCAGGATGTCTGCATCTGCTTCTATTACACCCCAACTGTAAAGGAAACAGGAAATGAATGTAATATTTTTAGCTACCCACATTGCTGCCCCCAAAGAATCAGGGCTCTTTGGGTAGGAAAGAGTTGACAAATAGATCCTGGGCAGATGGCCAACAGTGCCTGCACGCCTTGGGCCTCCCTCCCATCCTAGAAGCAAGCACGTGGCCTCCTTCTATCTCCCTGGTTATCTTTCCTAAGGAGATACTCTTGTTCCCTCCACCAGAAACAGGCTCGTCTGGAACTTTCTCCTAGCTAGACACCACCACGTGTGCTGAACTGGAGACACGGGCAAAATGGTTGCTCGCTGCCTTGCAAGCGTGGGAGCCGGAGCTCTCCTCGTTGGAGTGGCTCCAGCTGGCCTTCTCCAAGCTTGGCGCCAGCTCAACAGCAAATAAGAGGCTGTGCGGAAACACGGGAACACAGTGCGGTTACTACACCGGGACATGGCTGACTTGAGGAGACTCCTGGCGGGCATTGTGCCGAGGCCAACGTGTCCATAGGAACACACATCACTGACTAGGTCCAGCTTGAGTGTGCAGGACCAAGTACCCGGGCCTGACTCCAGGAGGCCGGGCTCCCGGGAGTCCTGGGCAGCAGGCTGGGAGGGCAAGGGCATGGGTGGGCCTTGCAGAGCGGGAGGAAGTTCTGTGTGGGTCAGTGCCGGCTCCCTGCCAAAGTCTGAGGAAGCTGCTTAGCTTACCCGATCCATCTTCTGTCTCCACTACTTACTCTACTAAGGTGCCCTCTCCACAGGGGACTGGGCTTGGGACCATGGAGTTCATGGTGTAAAGTCCTGTTTGGGGCCCCAGAATGTCAACAACTTTGATTATTTTGGCTATAATTAGAAAGTAGCTACATTTCAACTTCTTGGGGGGGGCAGTTTTTTCCACGGTGTGATTTCTCTCTCCCAACAGGTCACCCATCTGGTAACAGATAGTCACAGCTTTGTCCTTTGTAGGGAAAACCTACTTATTAAGAAGCTGCTCATCCTGTCTCGTAAAAACCAAAAAAAAAAAAAAAGAAGCTGCTCCTCCTTCTCCTGTTCCTCCTCCTCTTTCTTTTCCTCCCTCCTCCTTCTCTTTCTTTTTCATTTTTTTCAAGACAGAGTTTCTTTGTGTAGCCCTGGCTGTCCTGGGACTAGCTTTGTAGACCAGGTTGGATTCAAACTTTCAAACTCAGAGTTCCACCTGTCTCTGCTGTGATTAATGG